AATGAAAGAGGACAGTCTGTCTTAGTATGATGCTAATCATTCCTATCTTCAAACAGTATTAAAATCATTGTTAAATAAGTATATATCTTCTCCTGATAATCACATACAATACAATCCACACACACAATATAATCCACAGTGAAGTCTGAAGTGTTTTACAAAATTTAAAGACTTAAATAAATGTATTTTAGGGGTTTTTACAAAGACAAATGGGGATTCTTGGCAATTTTATGTGAAAAACCTGTAAGAGTCTTGATTCAGTTTTATGTATTCCTTGGTGAGAAGAGAGTTGGCTAAACATAATTTTCCCCCTATAATACTTGTCATGCATATCTGTGTGCCTGTTAGAGAAAAGACAGATGATAAAAGGTAAATATCATATACTACATCAAATAGATATTATGATAATTTGGAGAACTCTAGTCATGACCAACAGAGATTTCTAATAGAACTATATGCTGCAGCAGTAGTAAAAGTAATTAAAAGAGATGTCTGAAGATAGAAGCACTAAAGAGAGATTAGCAGAATTGTAATTTAAAATAATCTTTTCCTTAGTTATTGTTACCATAGCTTCGCAAAGACCTTATAAGCTGAGGTCTTGCTTCTCAGTATTTCCTAGCCTGAGATTGATGGCAATTGACCTGTAGACAAAATCTCAGGTTGCATAACATATGTAAGTGCATACAGTTTGGACATAGATGCATACAAGTAAAAGGTGTATAAATACAATGTGTTGCAAAGAAGCAAAATGTCCATTGCACATCGTGGGCATTTAATATCAAATTCATAGGGGAAACTGGGTAGCAGGAGAGAAGAGAAATGCATATTCCCTTTGAAAAGAAAAGCTGTGGGAGTCTTCATTTTCTCAGTTGTACTCTGATCCACAAGAGAAAAGAAATACTTTAAATTAGTTCTTTCTATCAGGCCTAACAAATGGTGTGGCCTCATGGTACAAAAGGAAGCAGGAATAATTTGTCTCATGTTTTGACTTTACACAAGGCATGTACAAAACCCAACCAGGAACTGAAAAAACGAACCAAGTTCTAGCTCAAGTTTTGTAACTCAGACAGCTTACATAATTGGCAAAAAACATAGGTGTTCTTTAGAAAGGTAACACATTGTGAAAGAGAGACCTTCCAATTAAAAAAACAAAGCTCTCCAGTTGTCTTTACATGAAGTATTGTCAAACATGAAGACTCATCCAGACTTAGCACTCAGGGCAGGTAAAAGAAATAGATGAATTGGCCAAGGACTCTCCAGTAGACTTTGTGCTTCTAAGAGAGACAATAATTCAATGTTTCTGATTAACAATTTTTCTGAATAACTGAGTGGGGTTTAGGAATAAAGAGTTTAGCACAGCAGGCAGTCTGACTAAAAGTGGACTTGATCAAAGTTGTTCAGAAGTTAAATGCACTGTCATTAAAAAGCTAAATGTACTGTCATTCATTTAAAATAATTTAGCAAATTAGAAGAGTTCATTAGTGCATGGCAGTTGGCTTCTGCAAAACACCCTGCTGCTTAAATACGAGATTTAATTGAGAGGTATTAAAATTATTTTCTAAAAGAGGGAGTACAAGGAAATCCTGGTAATGTATTTGGTACAAGCATCGCCAAATTGTTTTTCTTGTATATCTGTAATGCTTCCCTATCCTTCTTTTAAAAAAATTAGAAAAAATTGGCATTTTGAATACAGTAATACAGAGCAGTCAGGTCACTCCAAAAACCATCTAACCTTCAAAATCTTAACTATGAACAACATGGAGTAGGAGAAGAGAAGGTATGGTGGAGGATGGGCAAAGTCCCCAAACCAGATCGAAGCGACTTGGTTTGGAGGTCAGACTTAATGGTTTCACAGTACACTAACTCTGTAAATTAAAAAACAACTTTAAATAATCTGCATGTGATTACAATGCTACGCACTATAATCAGCCTACTCTGGGGAAACAAAATGCCTCTAAATACACACAAGTAGTTTTCAGGATAGGCTGCATGAACATCTAGGTATTGCTGCTACTATTAGTTTTGACTCTGGGAATGTTAACACCGCAAACACATATAGCCAGCAGGCATGTAACCTGGATTTGCATAGGTATTTTGGTTTGGTATTACTGAAGGATAGGCAGCAGTTGCATGGAGACTCTCGGGATAGACTGGTCTGCACTGGTAAGACTGGCACCCAAACTTGCTCTGGTAGCCTGAAGTCAACACACCCTTCCTTCCTCCCTGTCCACCAGCGTGGCAAATGAGCAATTTGGACTTGCTTTCCAGTCCTCCTGTGGCAGGGCTGAGCATCTTAACAGCTTTTCTTACAGTAAGTCTGAGTGACTCAAGACATGAAGTAAGATGAGAGTGTGGGCTATGCCCTCAAACCCCAAACTGTCCTTCCGATAAAGCAAAGGAAATAGCTGCCAGACTTCTCAGGGGAGGAGTTGAGCCCAGAATACAGCACTGGGAACACCCTTGCTCTAAATGACAGAGTATCATCTTAGGCATATGTTTATGAAATCCTTCCCTTAAATCCCCTAGGGGTCTTCCTAGAAAGCTCTTCCTGAACCCCAGGCCAGCTTCTCCCTGTTGGCTCATCTCCTCCCATCCTGTAGTGCATGTTTCATGTGAGTTTCCAGCTAACAAACTGAATGCTGAATGGCCGCAGCTCCTCTAGTTTCCTCTACTAGAAGAATTGCTTGAAGGAAAAACTCTGGTTTGTGACCAAAATCTTCCACCAGGATATAAAAGAGTTTCTCCAGAGAAGAAACTGTTTTTCCTTAGGCTAGGCTGCAACAATTT